GACGGTCAAGCCCACTATTCGTTGGTAAAGAGTAGCCCAAGAGTTGGCGGTGGGTGGTGATGACTAGCTGCCTTCCCTCTAGTCTTACACTGCTAAATTAGGGACGGCTAGCGCAGATAGCCCTCGTGTAGCTTTGCGCGAAATTCCAAAACAAACAAACAGATATACAGAGTATGATTTGTTACACTAAAAGTAAAACTTAAAAACTTAGTTTTCAATAATTATCTAACGAATAATATACAGTTTTTCCACTACTTACTTTTTCCAGTTGCCAAGGATGAGGAGAAGAGGAAACTCCGGTAATGAGATGGAATCATGTGATCTTCTTCTATCTTCTCCTTCCCATCAATGGTGTTACAGTCCGTGATGTCGACTGTAATTTTTTCTTATAATGGCAAAGAGCCTTATAAATAGGGCTTGGACATAAATAATATATATATATATATACATAAATATATATATATATACATACACATGCATAAATGATGACTTACTACAAAAATAGATACTCTGCCCCTATGCTTAAGAAAGTAGAACACAATTATCTAGTGGCTCATTTAGCTGTTTCTTTGCTTTAATATGTAATCATATTTACTGTACAAATCATTTTGAAAATTCTAATTATTTTATGGCTACCAAGCCTATAGTTGATAAACTGTGTGATGATTTTTAACATTGAGGGAAATATTTTGAAATTAATCCTTTAGAATTGTAACATCGTTTTTTGGATTTCCTAGTTTGATGGATTATCCAAAGGTGTGCTCAGTCGCTTTTCTTACCATATCATTTGTTCGTGGAGCTCTGATTTGTACAGCTCAAGTTGGACAGAACAGCAAAATAAGAGTGAAATAAATCACCTTTTTACTTCTCTATACAACAGCTGTTCTAGCTTGGTGAGTTTTTCCTCACCATTTAATCAGAAAATGTTAAGTAAAGGTTAAACATTTCAAAGAGTTGTGTGGTTTTCAAATAAAGGTTTATTACCTTTTCAAAAAAGTCTATATCCCTATAAGTAATTAAGTTATAAAAAACTTGAAATTTCAAATGTCTATTTTAAACATTCCATGATTATTTTCCTAACTTTGTTTACATTAGGTTTTCTGTTAAGTGTACAAAAATGCTGTTATATAGTTGTATTTATTTGCTATTTATTTATTTATTAACAGTCCTCCAGAGATCAATTCATTTTTCTTACGCGAGCTGTTTGATGAGTTTGAAAAGAATTATGTAAATGTGAGGTAAACTTTATGGCAATGGATTAGTTTAAAAGAATGATGTAAATGTGCGGTAAGCTTTATGACAGTGAATTAGTTTTGAAAGAATGATGTAAATGTGAGGTAAACTTTATGGCAATGGATTAGTTTAAAAGAATGATGTAAATGTGCGGTAAGCTTTATGACAGTGAATTAGTTTTGAAAGAATGATGTAAATGTGAGGTAAACTTTATGACAGTGAATTAGTTTTAAAAGAATGATGTAAATGTGAGGTAAACTTTATGGCAATGGATTAGTTTTAAAAA